ATAATGTTAAAAAGTCAGTATCTCGATAATTTTTAGAAGTAGGCTGTGCCTGCAAATATTTTTGAAATCGAAAGCAGAATAAGGTTAAACGTCAATTAGTTGACAGTTAGTTTTGTTGTCTGTTGAAACCTGAAACGTTTTTTTGCAATTGTGGATGCACAAAATTCAGTTTCTTTTACCTGTTTGTTTTTGTAAGTTTTATAAAAATGCCATTTTTATTCTCCAATCAAGAGTTAGCGGATATTCATTTTGTGTATGGCTCTGTAAATGGAAACGCAGCAGAAGCAGCTAGAGAATACGCACGAAGATTTTCAAACAGACGACATCCAACTCGCTCAGTATTTGTAAGAGTGCATCGCCAAATAATTAAAAATGGTTTTGGAAATCTCCAAAGGGATCAAAACATTAATGTTCGTCAGCGCAGATTTACCCGTATGATTCTGCGTGAGTTTGATAGAGATCCACAAGTGTTAGGAGAGTTTCTGGTGCCTTGCGAATTTCAGCAAGCCATGTTCACCGTGTTCTTAGAAATGACCATAGACGTCCTTACCATTTGTAACCTGTGCAAGGACTACAGCCAGGGGACGGAGAACGAAGAATCACATTTTTTCAGTGGATTCTTGATAGAACTGATAATAATAGGGGGTTTTTAAGTAACGTTTTATGGACCGATGAGTCATGCTTTACTAGACGTGGAGTGGAAAATTTTCATAATCAACATATTTGGTCGCATAAAAATCCGCATGCAGTTCGGGAAAGAAATTTTCAGCATGAATTTAGCGTGAACGTGTGGATTGGTATCTACCGTAATCGACTCTTTGGACCCTACCTTTTGCCTGCAAGGTTAAATGCTGCGACCTTCATGGAATTTTTAAAGGCTGAACATGCAAATATGTGGGATGATGTTATGTTAGATTTAAGAAAATCGGCCTGGTTCCAGCTTGATGGTTGTCCAGCTTATTATTCGAGAATAGTTAGAAACTGGCTGGATAAAAATTATCCAGAAAGATGGATCGGCCGTGGAGGACCAGTCGCCTGGCCTCCACGATCCCCTGGCCTAAATCCATTAGATTTCTTTGTGTGGGGATTTCTAAAAGAAAAAGTGTACCAGACTCCCGTAACCACAAGAGATACGCTAATAGACGGAATCAGGAATGCATGTGATGAAATAAGGCCTTATTTGAATAATACCACGTTCGATCATTCGTAGATGTGAATTGTGTATTGAACAATTGGGTTTACACTTCGAGCAACTGCTTTAGATTTCGTATGTTTGTCCTAACTATCCAATAGCATTTTAGTTGTAAATAATTAATTTAATTTGTTAAAAATAATATTGGAAAATTAAACAAATTAATATTCTGTTTTTTGTGTTTATTTGGAGTTAGGAATTATTGCTGTGTTTAAAAACACAATCTAAACAATCATCTTAATTACTTGTAATGTCCAGATCGAAAATGTAAAAAAAAATATTATTTTCCCATAAATAATTAAAAAAAAACCTTAAAAATCGAAATATCTCAAAAACGGGTAACTATAACCAAAACTCACAGGAGAGCTTTTTTATGTTAAAAAGTGCGAAGAATCAGTTTTTTTATTCAAAAAGCAAAAAATTGCACTAAGAAAAAATTTTCGGTCATTTTAATACACTACAGGTACAGTAGAGAGCGCCCTCTAGAGGCTACAGTAAAACTATGCCCATGGTTCATTTTTTCGTACCAAAAAACCCTTGTATACTAATTTTCACTGTTATGCATCAAATATTGTTCGAAATATTTAAAAAAAAACTATTTTAGAAAGTAAATTTAAACACCCTGTATTTCGGAAGCCACGCATTTTTCGACCCATGTTTATATAGATTTTATGCATTAATTTTAAAAGTTCTATCGAATCTTAAAGTTATGCAACAATAAACTGAAACACCCTGTATATGGAAAGAACAGAGGAAATACTTTAGGTGTATATGCAACACTGTAGTCTATTATCATTAACCCTGTCTGGATGACAAATAAGGGAGACAAAGAAAAGTAATTGAATTATTCTGACGACTCTAAATTTTGATACTAGACATTTTTTCAATGATTACTTATTTGTTTTATACATAAACACACCTTTTTCTGAATTTTATGATCCTTAAATGTACCCACCCACCCATTTCGCCTATCCTTTAATTTGTGTTACTCAGTCTATTATAATGATTATCTGGATATTTCGTCAAGCAGAGTGACTCACTACTTATTACGCAATCATATACAACAGACAGGAACTGACAAACTGACATAAATGAGAAACACGGAGTTATTTGATGTAGGTATCTTTAAGCAACAGAAAACTTGTGGTGAAGGTCGAATATTATCGCGAGTTTAATACTTCCATCGTTTAGGTGTCTTAGATTTTGAAAATTGAATCAGGGGCAGTGGAGCTACGGACAAAATAAAAATCTCTGGAACATAGTGATACAATGTTTCAGAGATTCCTGCTCACTCTCAAAGCGTTGGACATTGTAGGTTGCAAGCTGTGTGCGGTAAATGGTTGTAAATTGTTGCGTGTTTGGTGTCAGTCATAAAAGTTATTCTAAGTGTTAAACGGCTTAGGTAAAAACTCTACCATTAAATTTGCAATCTATCATTTTTTTAAAACAAAGCTTAATGAGAGAAAATTTAAATTCGTCCATAATTTACGATTTATTGCCTATCCTTAGCCATAATGACACACAGACGTTTTCCCTACATCTGCCGTAGAAACAGAAATGTGTCAGATTTATCCTATATAGTTTGATATGTAGATATCGGAGATTCATCGTACCCAAGTGAACCCGCCTAGTCACAATTCGATTCTGCCTTTTAAAACGACTTGAGTAATCCCTTTTTTGAGACCTCGAACGAAGGTATAGTCAACCTACGTCATATTTTTCACCTTCCAAAATATTTTCATTTTTTGACTCGTATCCCTGCTTATTAACAACATTTCCTGCTAAACGTGAGCACCCAGCACGACTGGCTTCTCGAATACCTCTTCAAAGAAAAAAAACGGTACGCCTATGTATTGGCTTGTCAATTTGGTAGGCTTTGGTAGACAAAAGAGTCAAAAGAATGCGCGGAAACTACACAATCTTGGAGACAATATACAGGGTGTTATTTAAGTAATTGCCATAAATTTAACAGACGATTTTTTGTAATTCTAAGACAAAAAGCTCATTTAAGCAGCGGTCCGCAAATTCTTCGTTCTCAAGATACAGGGTGTTAACATTTAGAAAAATGTTTTTTTATGTATATGTCTTAAATACCTTTTACCTAATTTTGTTGTAATTTGGCGCTAGTTTGATTAAATTTATTAACTCCAGTGGCGTGTCGAATGGGATCTGAACGGATATTTGTTAAAAAAAACTATACTCAACTGACTTTTGTGCAATTTTTTATGTTTTTTCGGATTAAGCAAATAGAAATACAATATTCTTGTCTCTTGAATTTTTTTCGTATCTTACTTAGTTTCCTAGAAGCCAACCAGCAGAAATACGTATCGCTCGGGTTACCTATCCTATTTTCTGCTCGAATCCACTTTTTGCGGATTTTGCCCATTATTTTCCTATTTTTGTTATATACCTTTCTCAGCATGATTTTCTCTTTTTATATATATATATATACAGGGTGTCCGCAAAGTTGGGGTTTTCCTTTTCAGAAACAACTACCCTTGAAATAACAAAGGTAATGTGTAGTGAAACGAGGGCGACCAAGTAAAAAAAAAATAAAGGAAAAAGTACTCACTCTCCAGTTGACGAGAAGGGCTAAGTACGTCTCTGCCCGAAATCATACCGCTCCAACAGAAAATAAAATCAGCTGATACGCTACCGGGCAGGCGAAGGCAAACAAGGAAGGCAAAATGTTGCATAAAAAGTCTAGGTATTGCATCCCGTCCAATCGATTTGGGAGAATAAATTGTCCAATGAGCATACCGTTCACCATGCCAGCCCAAACATTCACCGAAAATGTTTGTTGAAAATGTGGCCGACGGACAGCGTGCGGATTTTCTACTGACCAAACATGACTTGCTGGAAAATCGTCAGGTTGAAGGGCTTGTACACGTTGGACGTGAAACGGATACAGCCTCTCTTCACGCAGCGTTTGCCACACTTTAGTTTTTGATACTTGCGCTTCTCTAGCCACATCTCTAGTGCTTGTTGAGGGATTCTCGTCTACGCGATTACCTCTACACGGTGACCGTAACCGTCGGTTGAAGGTTGCATAATGACCTGACACACTGACCCCGACCCAGTTCTGTCGTCGGGTTGAGCTAGTGTCCTAGTACCACTCGGGGATATCGCGGCTACAGGACGGTATTCTGATATTTTTGATGTTGCAGAGCCCTTTATCTCGGTTCCCTTAAGACATTGGTGTATATGGTACTAAGAAAAATTGCTTATGTTTTCAAGATCTACACGTCGTGTAAAGGAAAACTCCGACTTTGCGGACACCCTGTATATACATATTATATAACATAATAGACTTTTTTCTCGAAAACTGAGCAAAATACAAAAAAAATTCAAGAGACAAAAAGGTTGTATTTCTATTTGCTTAACTCAAAGAACAACAAAAATTGCACAACAGTGGCGTATATTCGTTTGTCACAAATTTTCGTTCAGAGACTTCATTTCATTTAATAACTTTAATCAAGGTAAGGCTAAATTAGCTCCTTAATGTTATAAATATCACCGGCAAATTACAACAAAATTAGGTCAATGATATTTAATAAATTTACGAATTACCTTTTTTTATTTTAACACCCTGTATTTTGAGAATGAAAAGTTTGCGGACATATGAACTGCCCCAAAATTAGTCAAAGAATCGTCTGTAAAATTTATGATACATACTTAATCAACACCCTGTATAGGCTTGGCTGCTTCTAACCTATTCGAATTCGTTGTTTACAACCCACCCACTCTACTTACTACTAGATCACTACGGTTTGAAAAAAAAAGATTTTAAACATTTTATTTAACATTCAAGCTAATTTCACCGGACTATACACACACCCATCTCATTCATGAAGCTCAAATTGAACCGAAAAATCAGTCTGCAACATGTATACCGCGCTGCTAATATTAGTCGTGACGTGTGGTGTTAGTTTTCTTTCTGCTCAAAACTGTTCCGTGCCTTCCCTTACTGGAACGCTCTACCAGAAGGTCGACAGCGAACCACAGAACCTCACCATAGAAGGTTCTATCCAGCTGGAAGATGACTCATTCTACCTGCTGATAGCCAATCAAAGCTTGCCGCATCTTTGTCGCAATTCGGTCAACATTCAATACGAACTCTACGTGCTGCAGATCAGAAACGTGGGTCTAGCTGATATCCAGCCTCGTGCGTTTAACATCACACCTACCTTAGGCCTGCTCAAAATCAGCTACAATCCTTTGACTTCGCTGAAGAAAGGGGTGTTTCAAGGTCTCAGAGTCAAAGAAATAGACTGTTCTAACAACTTCATATCTTCGATAGATGAAGAAGCATTCGATGGTATACCAACGTTAGAAGTGTTAAGATTGAGCTACAACGCTATCAAGCAAGTCAGTCCAGAGTGGTTTAAAAACAGTCCGAATGTGTATAAGTTGAGTATAATCTTCAATGAGTTGACCAGCCTGCCTGCGCGAGCTTTTCAAAACATGGCCAAGGACAGACCTGTCAAGTTGAGACTGTCAGCCAATAGGATTCAGGATATAGATGACGACGCGTTTTTCAGTATGGGTAACATAGAGGTAATTGTTATTTTCCAAACATCAGGTGTTCCACAGGGATCCTCGTTAGGACCACTTCTTTTTATTATATTTATCAACAACATTGCTGACGTCATTGACATGGATAATGAACGATGGGAAATATAGAGATAATAGTTATTCTCCAAACATCAGGTGTTCCACAAGGATCCTCGTTAGGACCATTTCTTTAGTATATTTATCAACAACATTACTGACGTCATTGATCCTCGTTAGGACCACTACTTTTTATTATATTTATAAGCAACATTGCTGACGTCATTCACATGGATAATGAACGATGGGAAATATAGAGATAATAGTTATTCTCCAAGCATCAGGTGTTCCACAAGGATCCTCGTTAGGACCACTTTTTTTAGTATATTTATCAACAACATTGATGACGTCATTGATTGCAACTTTCTGTTATATGACTTAAATTTATACACAAACTAGTAGCAGCACTGATTGCGAACGCCTCCAAAATAATCTTAACCGGGTAACAATTTGGTGTGATAATAACCTAACCATGAACTATGGGAAATATAGAGGTAATAGTTATTCTCCGAACATCAGGTGTTCCACAAGGATCCTCGTTAGGACCACTTCTTTTTATTATATTTATCAACAACATTGCTGTCGTCATTGATTGAAATTTTTTGTTATATGATGTAAATTAATATAAATAATAACCTATCCACGAACGATGGGAAATATAGAGATAATAGTTTTTCTCCAAACATCAGATGTTCCACAAGGAACCGCGTTAGGACCACTTCTTCTTATTACATTTATAAGCGACATTGGTGACGTCGTTGATTGCAACTTTGTGTTGTATGCCGATTATCTGCAAATTTATACTCCAGTAAGCAGCAAATAATGTTAACCGTGTAACAATTTCGTGTGACACTAACCTATTCATGAACTCATCCAAGTATGTCATTGCCCGATAGAATATCATTGTAAGGTTAGTCAAACAAGTGCCCAAGATAAGAGAGTTCAAAGACCTTGGAGTCATCTTTGACAGAACTTTTACCTTCAATCAGCATGTAAATAATCTTCTAAATTCCGTAAATAAAAGTGTGCGGGCTTTCTGTTGCGCAAATCTCATGATTTTGATAGCATAAAGGCTCTATTCATGCTGTATAATGCATTAATGATGTCAAAACTTGAATACGCTAGAATTATTTGGCGTTCCTGCTATATGGCGACCTGTGACTCATTAGAAAAAGTACAACATAAGTTTCTCAAATATCTGTCCTACAGGATAGATGGTATTCATCTAGATGTATTATTAAAAAGACATGTTTAGAACACAATGCATTCGTTAATCTTTTTGTTCAAGGTTATTCACAACTAGTATGATCGTCGGTCTATTCTCGGTCGTCTCACCAGAAACATTCTGATGTTTTATTCACCAACCCCCAGGACCAACGTATTTTTGTATTATCGCATATATTCCATGGATAACTACTATCTAAACCTCTAAACCAGAGTTCCCCAAACTTTTTTGTGTCGTAGACCCCTTGCCATGTTTTTTCGTGCTGGGTAGACCCCCTACTTACCTGATATTGATTTTCTGTAAATTTCTAACTGTAGTGAAGTTTAGTGTTAAAAACTTAAAATAAAAACACATTTATTAATTGAATTTAAATTAAAACTACTCAAAATAAAATTTTGTATCTGTTATGTAAATTATAGTTAACATTAAAGAAACAGGTGTCTGACCCATAAGTGCCCGCATTGGGAATAAGTGCCCTCATTGAAAAAAAAATAAGAGGGATAAAATAAAAAAAAGTGAAAAATAATAAAAAAAAGTTTTTTACTTAAAATAGTACAATAAGCGAGCTCGTTTATTAATTATAACATAAACGTATGTTCTACAATAATTTCACTGTTAGTTTGATTAAATTCCGCTTCTTATACGTTTAAGTTATCTAAAAGTAGGCAAAAAATTAACGAATTTTAGTGTGTACCTAGCCTTGAATTTTCAGAATAATTTAAAAAAAATATTTTCTATAAAGGGGGTTCTTTAAAAAAATCAATGCGGGCACTTATTCCCAATGCGGGCATTTATTGGTCACACACCAATAAACATAAAATAAACTATAAATAAAATAACATAAGCAATAAGTCAATATTTTTAGTGAGAAGGATGAACCTGATGCTTTAATAATAAATTATCAACATTTGGCGTCAATTTTGTAAGGGTTAATCTTAAATCTCCTCGGCTAATAATGTCCAGTCTGTTTCTTTTTTTCGTTAGGAGATTGGTAACAGCGCTGAACCCCCTTTCCACTAGGTATGACGATGGAAAGGAAATTAAAAATTTCCTCGCTCCATAATACGGGATAAGTAACGGGTATGTTGTTTTGCAGCCAGAATTGCTGATATCCGTTTTTAAACCGAACCTTAAGTTCTTCGTTTGTCAAAATATCCTCAAACCTAGATTCAAAATCTGAATAGAGGGCATTTAAATGTTGAACGTGAGTTGAAACGTCGTCTTCCTGGCAGCTTGTCTGTGACAAATTGGGGAACTGGGAAAATTCGCCCCGTCCAATATTTTGCTTCATTAGTTTAACTATGGCAAGAAACGCTGATAAGATGGACTTTGTTTTAATCAAATTTGAACTGTCGCCTTGTAATTGCAAATTAACCATATTAAATTTTGTAAACATATCTGTTAAATAGGCGATGTCTATTTTCCTCTTCATTAAATTTTCTTTTAAAATTTTATCTTTAGTATCCAGAAATTCTAAAATAGTCTCAAAAAGTGCAAAGAATCTTGTCAAACATAAGCCTTTCGTCATCCAGCATACTTCAGTGTGAAGGAGTAATTGATGAAAGTGTTTCTTCACCCAACTGCGCAAATAACCGCGTATTCAACGCGTTGCTTCGGATTCGGTTTACTGCATCAATGACTAAATGAAGTGATTCATGCAATCTAACACTCAAATTTTTAGCAACTAAATATTATCGATGGATGACGCAATGTATTGCTAACACCCCTGACACATTTTGTTTTAAATAGCTTATAAATCCACGATAACGTCCAACCATGGCAGGTACTCCATCTGTAGCTACTGATATTATATTTGATAAAGGAATTGCTTTTTCAATGAAGTAATCCTTCAAAACATGAAATATTGATTCACCTTTAGTGTCGGTTATCAAAGTTCTTGCGAAGAGCAGTTCTTCGTTGATTTCTTGATTCATAATAAAACGAACATATGCCAATAATAATGCTGCATTATCAGGTAAAGTTGACTCGTCCAGTTGTATTGAGAAATGGGTCGTTTGCAAATAATTACATAAGAAGCTTTCAATATCAGAACTCATTTCATCAATACGTCTTTCAACAGTATTGTTGCCTAAGGGAATTCTTTTAATGATATCAGATGCAGCTTTGTGTAAAACAGTTTTTAAAACCTCTTCAACCATCATCATTTCTTTGTGACGTCGAAGCGAACATTCTGTCCAGTGTAGGTCTCTTCTGAAATTTATCTTTGACTGTTTGAAAGTATTTCAAATCTTTCTCTGCTTTATCAGGGTGGCATCTTCTCAGATGATCTTGCAGTTTAGATGGTTTCATAGCGTCATTGCCCAAAACTTTGTTGCATAAAAGGCACATAGGCGATTGTTTGTCCGGCAATGATGGAATGAAGCCAAATTTCAAATAATCAACACTGTACTGTCTACATTTCTTTTTAGATTAGGACATGGCATCAGTCATCTGTGGGCAAAATTAAATTATTTAAATAAGACAGAAAATCCAGCAGCTGTATATTAAAAGTATTTTTTGATTTTTCCGAAAACATTCCATAATTCGAACATCTTCTTGCAACAATTAGCTCGAATTACGGAGATTGCACTGTAATTATATTACCGATTGCTAAAACTTTCAAAAAGAAACTATTGAGGAGTACTCGTGTAATTTTGCATGATTGAATGTTTAACTACTAATAACTAAAGTCATGATTGGCGTAATTTATCTATCTTTGCTAACTACGAGTACAAAACTAAAATTTAATAAAAAATAATGTACTTACTTTTCTCCAGCACTCTTAAACAAAATCACACTGACTCACCATAGTTTGTGTGATATACTATCTGTTTATATTTTTTTAAATATTTTCTTAGCACTTTCCTTTTCAAGATTCAGGAAACGAATAAACGTATTTGTCCCACATTCGTATTTATAGAGTGACGATTTGAACAAGTCAGTGCAAGGAAGCGAAGCTCTGAGACTACGACTCTCAGGTTGTTACAAGTTCAAAATATATTGCGACCACAAAGCGAATACCAACATCCTACAACTAACACAATTTTATGAGCATATATAATAAATTTTTTACTTCATAGGTACTTTTATAAATAATGTATATGTTTTGATATTATAAGATAGTATGATGTAAGTAAATAGGTACTATCAGTGTATGTGTTGAGATCTACTATCGTGGACCCCCATATTCATTTCATGGACCCCCAAATTTTTTTTCGCTGACGTAGACCCCTTGCAGGTTGTCATAGACCCCTAGGGGTCGATATAAACCACTTTGGGAATCAACGCTCTAAACAAACCAGAATTGATATATTTGATACAAATTTGACTCCTATTAAGATCCTTTGCAAATATGTTATGTAATTGTGTTGTTTCTTGAATGCTACATTTTTATGTTTATGTGTGTTTTGCGTAAACTTCTGTTATCCCACCAATAATTGGTTGATCTGTTGGTGGTGTAAATAAACAAGTGAGAAAAGTGGCTAGCAGTCGACAAGATCTTTTCTACCAACCCGTAACAAAAAAAGAAGAATATATTGTAACAATTGGAACCATATGCTTGAAGAACAAAAAACGTAAAAATCATTAAATTTTATTACTGGTAATGTTAATAACAAAAGAGCGGTTGTTAGCATCTTGAAGATTTATGGCAGATGAAAAAATCCTGGACAGGGTGACATTTTTTGCTTTTCCGTATGCAGTGCGTCGATAATTATCCATA